CTGTCCTGTGACTGTTGGAGACTAGTTAACCCACCAAGTGACTGGAACGTTGGGAGACTAGTTAGCTCATTATGTGACTGGATTGTTGGGAGACTAGTTAACCCACTAAGTGACTGGAATGTTGGGAGACTAGTTAGCCCATTGTGTGACTGTTGGAGACTAGTTAGCTCATTATGTGACTGGATCAGCACTTTGGTTGGCCTTGTTGCTGTTTTAAGTGCTTTATTAATAAAGTGGTATGGTATGGATTGTTGGGAGACTAGTTAGCCTATTGCGTGACTGGACTGTGCATGTGTAACTCCAGGTTTAAAAGTAGAGGCAGATGAGGTGAGCCTCCCTGGCCAATCAGAGCTGAGCTTTAAGTCACGTGACTCTACGGGACAAAGATCCGGCTCTTACCGTGTCGGTGAATTGGTAAGCGATGAACTTCCTCATCAGAGCAATGGCTGTGGCTCTCTCCTCTCCGATCTGCAAACAGGACACATAAATATGTGCGTGTGGACGTGCATGTGTTTGTGCATGTGTTTACACACCTTGCATTTGACAGTCCAAAGATTTGGATCCCTGGAAACAGAAGTAAAATAGTTTAACTTGTGCAGGCGCCTCGATGCTGATGGGTGACGAGTTTTGACCTACTTGACACCAGGAAGTAGCTGCTGCTGAGTGATGTCATCAGAAAGTTCTTCGGAGCCTCCAGAGTAACTGGACCAAAGAAAAATGAGCAGGAGTCAGTTCCGACGTTCTTAATAAAGACAGTAAAGTTTCTCATTGGCATCAAAGAGGCTCCATCACAAAAAATCACAGCTGGATTAAAACTATTGATTAATTCTGAACTACCAATAATCAGGTTAAAACTATGCAAAAATATTAGTTTTTCTTTATTACAGTCAAAAGTTTGTTTGGATTTACAGAGAAGATGTTTTTTACTCACTGCTCTCCTCCTGAAGACTTGGCATATTTCCTCATGTAGTATTCACCCAGCGCCTCCTCTCTGGAGTCTCTGAAACGGAAAACAAACATTTACACTCAAACACTCAGAGTTCTGCATGAAACAGAGAAAATCTGCTTCTGTCGAAATTTATCCAAACATCCTGAGGAGACAAGTGAGAGCGGAAGAGACGGCTGATTCATTCACTCTTTCACATGTCATGTGAAGAGGCACAACATGGCCACCATCAAAACCCTGACGACATAAAGGTCAGGAGAAGCTCCTGCAGTGAAAAGTTACAGCTGTTTGTTTCAGAGGTCATGAGACATTTCATTTTACCTCCAGAGGTTCTGCAGCCGCCTGGATCCAGAGTGATCTTCATCCAGAACCGTACGGTCCAAGTTGGACACTGAAGAGGAGACGGTGATAACTTTACTGTGTAAAAGTGTTTACTTGAAGATAACTGGCAATGAAACTGAAGATGAAGTGATGAGCAAAAATCAGTCTTACCTTCTGCCTCCTCTGCTCATGGACCAGCAGCGACGAAGAGGAGGGAGCAGATCAGCCGGGGGCAGGAGACAACGGAGGAAGGACAAACAGGACAAGAGGAGGACATTAAACCAACGAAAGACAGAAATATTGAAGGTCAGATGACAGGACTGTGATCGCAGCAGGCAGACACAAAGCATGATGGGAAAGAAACAAAGTGATTAATGGAGACTGTGCAGGACAGAGGAATGAAAGCTGGACAACGTTCTGGACAACGTCTCAGGATGTCCAGCAGAAACCAAACTCTGTTTCTGATTATTGAACCATGAGACACACACACACAAATCTATTTTATTATCATGGAGGAGAAATACAACCTCTGTGTGGAAGACGAGACAGACTTTGCTGTTTTAAAGTGTCTTTGTCCAACAGTTTGACTTGAATTTGAAGACGTCTGCTAGTTTTAGCTCAGGTCCAACAGGTTGAGGTCTGTGTAGTTCATTCAAACTCTGAATGCATGTGTGTGTGTGTGTGTGTGTGTGTGGGGGGGGGGGGTCTGTGTGTGTCAGTGAGTAGTTTAGTCAAAACTAGCTAAACTAACTTTGATCAAGGTTTGATCTGGTCTATGTGTAGTTGGATCAGGGAGTAGTTTTATAAGGGTGTAGCTTGATCAGAGTGTAGTTGGATCAGGGCATAGTTGGATCAGGGCGTAGTTGGATCAGAGCGTAGTTGGATCAGAGCGTAGTTGGATCAG